AAATTGGGCAGGAGCCATCTGTGACAGGCAACCAAAAATAAGTTGCTGTCACTACCTACCCCCAAGACTAAGCAGGAAGCCCAATGTTTAATTGGTCTATTTGGATTTTGGAGAACACATATTCCACACCTGGGTATATTGCTGGCTCCTATCCATAAAGCCACTAGGAAGAAAAGTACATTTGAATGGGGGCCGGAACAATGGCAGGCAATGTCTGAAATACAGAACGCGGTCTCACTGTCCTTGCCTTTAGGTCCTTATGATCCACATTTAGACATGATCTTGGAGGTGTCTGCTACAAGTGCTTATGCAGATTGGAGCTTATGGCAAAAACCTGAGAATGCTGCCCTACGACGACCACTGGGATTTTGGACTAGAAAGTTTCCAGATGCTGCAGCACGATACACACCATTTGAAAGGCAATTGCTTGCCTGCTATTGGGCATTGATTGAGACTGCTTCAATGACAGAATGGCATAAAATTATTATGAGACCTGAAATACCCATAATGTCTTGGGTGATGTCAGAGAAACACTCTAATAAGGAAGGTGGTGCCCAAAATAGTTCCATAATAAAATGGAAATGGTTTATTCAAGAACAAGCAACTGGAGGGATGCAAACAGGCACTCATTGTATCCATGAGTAGGTAGCCTCCTTTCCTATAGGTCCTATGCTGGAACCACCTGAGGAGCTGCCAGAACCCACTGCCACATGGACAGTACCATATGAACAACTTTCTATGGATCAACAGAAGGCTACTTGGTTCACAGATGGCAGCTTCAGGGTCCATGGACAACAACTGACATGGAAAACTGCTGCATTAAGACCAGCAGATGGAACGACCCTTATTGAAGAAGGTAAAAATAGGTCAGCCCAATGGGCTGAACTGCATGCTGTCTTCTTAGCTGTCACGGAAGAATTGGGCAATGGTGAGGTCCAAATGTTAGGATTTTCCCTGATTCATGGGCAGTTGCCAATGGCCTGGCTATATGGTCAGGCAAATGGGCGATGGACAATTGGACTATTAAGGGGACCC